AAGATTCCGAGGAGTGTGAGGAGGGTGAGGCAGAGATCCGCTGCAACTGAAAATAAAACAGCTCTGGGCATCCAGAGTCAAGGCAGAAAAGCAAACTCGCAGACTATCATTAGGCAGAAGAAATCACAATCAATCAGGAAAGGCAAATTTTCCTAGAACTAAACTCGACATTTTATAATCAGAAACTGATCCTAGGAATTTATGCTTCTGATTCCGTCCCACCTCCCAACATAAGCTTTGCTGTGTTATTTTCCTCCTTACAGCTTTGCCAATTTCCAGCTGTGTGACCCGGAGCCAAGGCCTCAACTCCCTAAATCACAGTTTCCTCACCCTTAAAATGGAATGATGCTCCTACTTATTTAGGAAAGGGGATGAAAGAACATTTGCTGGCATTAACTGGGTGCTTGCTAAACATCAAAAGCTTTCGTGTATATTATCTCACTGAAATCTCTCAGTAACCCTATAAGGCAAGTTCTGTGAATACTTGACAGATGAGCTGAGATTCAGAGAGGTGGAGGCAGCTGCTATTGCCACACAGCTAAGAATCAGATGAGCCAGAACTCAATTTCATGCTTCTGCGATGCCAAAGCACATATTTAACTGTACTTTTCTAACTTCCCTGAATACGTTAAGCACCTAGCAGTTCCTGGCACATAATTGATACTCAACAAATTAGTTCCCTTCCTCACTCCTTCCTTTTCCCCCAAAGTAAAATTTTACACATATATAAAGTTCACTGAAATAATATTAGTATCTTTTATTTATAAAGCTGCTTTTCTCTAAGGAGATAATACAACTTAATCTACTTTCTCTACTAATCCTAAAATCTCTACCTATTGTTCTGTATTACTTTACTTACTTTACAAATAAGGAAGTAGAAGGCAGCAAGCTGCTAGGGTGAGTGCCCAGAGTCATATGGAAGTCACTGCCAAAACCAAATAAAAACCTTGGTCCTTTTTACATCTGAATCAACCTTTATCCTCTCACATGACACAGCCTGCATAATAAAGAACAGATCGTTCATTTTTTATCTGGAAAACTACCAAATGTATAATTCAGTACAGGGCCTCATGACCTTACCACCTTGTCAAAGGGAAGAAAGTATATAAAAAATGAGGTTTGCAGGAGCGGAGGGTTTTGGTCCATCAACTTTCTCTTGGATTACGCCCATTAACCAACATAAAATAATGTAAAATATAATGTAACAGATTCCCATGTCTTTGGAAATTCAAGTTAAGTTAAACTCACTGATCCTTCAAACATGTACACTGCACCAAGGGCAATCACTTAGTCTTGTGGGGCCGCAGAGGAGCACATTATGTCAAATAGATCTTTGAAAGAAAAATACGATACACAATCAGGCCACTCTCAGAGGAACCGAAGCCAGCAATGAGCATTTAGCAGCATAAACTCATAGCATCACAGAATCTGGGGGCTCCACAGGGATCTGGCAGATCACTGAGAATGACCCCTTCATCCAGTGTATGAGGAAAATGAGGCTCAGGAAGGTTGGCTTTTCCAAGATTTTACAGACAAGAGAGCAACAACTGAAAAATAAACCTACTGATCACCGCGCATTCTACTTGCAAATCTTGCTTCACGTGGCACTTTCCAGAATTACACATCTATTCAGAGAATGCAGGAGAAAGAGCCTGTACTTTGGTTACAGAAAAACTCAAGATTCAAATCCTGACTGCAACTTACTGACCATGCAATCTTGGGAAAGTCTCTTAATTTTTCTGAATTTAAACTTTTTCACCTATAAACTGTAGGTAATACTAAGTTCCACATATAAGCTGCGCATAATACAAGTAGGGGGCCTGGCACAGCCTGTGAGGTTTGTGAAGGCACACATCAGATCTGTATGTCCCCAGCACCCAGCACCAAGCCTGGCACATGATACAACTGCAGAAAATTTGCTGAGCAAATGATGAACTAACCAAGCAAATAGGTACTGGACTTGAACTCAGGTCTATCTGGTTCTTAAACAGTAGGCTATATAGCTCTCAAGTTATATGATTTCAAGGTAGAGTGTTAATTCTGACTTACAGAGTACTGAAAACACAATGGAATAAGATGGCTATTTTCTGGTCACTAAGCAGGAAAAAAGTTCAGTGGGGAATGTTTCTAGACTCTTAGTGTTGGGATTAATTCTGATTGCTAGCATGGATGCACCGTGAAGCTTTGGAAGCAATGAAAACTTGGTTTAGGTCTCGGCTTCAGCATAAGCTCTGTGACCTCAGAGATATTACTTTACCTCACTGAGCCTAACTCTCCACATCTGGAACAAACCCACGTTATGGGGACGGCAATATCTGTAAAGGAATACAGGAATTTGTGTGGCACAAAAAGACTCTGACTTGTGAAACACTCCTTTTCCCTTCCAGTTATTTGGTCACTTCATTCATTCCTTTCACATAGGTCTTTGTCAGATGTCACTTCCTGAACCTACCTATCCACGATAAACCCTCAATGGGCTCCCTCTATACCTTTATCCTGCTTGTTTCTCTTCATAGTCATTATCACTGGACATGACATTATGTATTTCTCTGTTTTTCTGTTTACTGTGCCTACTCAACTATAAGATAAGCCCCAGGACAGGGGATTTTTGTTGTTTTGTTTACTGCTACATCTCAACAGCAAGGAAAGTACCTGGCATGTAGCTAGTGCTCAATAAATATCTGTTGAAGGATGGAATGAATTAATTCAACTCTTACTTAGAACTTGCTATCTATGAGGCACTGTGTAGGAACAGGGACTTAAAGATAGTTAGGAAGTGAGATTACAGAAGGAGAAACTAATTCTGCCTGCTATAGATTCGGAGAGGATTTACATCTCACCTGGACTACTGCAGCTGCCTCCCAACTACTCTCCTTGTGTCTGCTCGGTCCCCCTACCTTCCATTGGTTAATCAGCAGCCAGAGAGACCCCCGAAGTCACATCAGACCAGGTCATACCTTCCATTGGTTAATCAGCACAGAGAGACCCCCGAAGTCACATCAGACCAGGTCATTTCTCTTCTTAAGTCCCTCCGATGTCTTCCCACTACAATTAGAATAAAGCCTAAACTCCTCTCCATGGCCTGTGAAGCCTGAACCATCAGCCTCTACTTACTAGTCCAACCCCCTCTCCTACCACTCTCTGCCCATCTCACTGAGTTTCAGACACACTGGCTTTCTCTTCCTCAAACATTTCAAAGTCCTGCCATTCCTTTCCTTTCCTTTTTTTTTTTTTAATCCCAAATGTGTTTATTGGGATGGTTCCTCACTCATCTTGATATGGGGTGCTTTCAGTGTTGCTTCCTTCTGAAGGAACACCCTTCTGTAAGCCTTACTTTTCCTCCTGTAGGCTGACAGAAAACAGTGGAGCATCCAACGCACAACACTACCATTTGTGCGTGACTAAAAGCAGTGGTGATTTTATAGCATCCTGGGCATTTCACATCCCTGAAGCAGGACTCGGGGCTCTGCACCAGGCGCCTCTTCTTGTGTTTCCCCTCCTCTTCTGGAGAGGGATGGAGGAGGTCCTTAGCGAGAGGCATGTTCTCGTGGGGATGATCACCGCCAGAAAGGCCATTTCTTTCCTTTTTTAATTTAAAAATAAACATACAATAGTCCCCTCTTATCTGCAGGGGATAAGTTCCAAGAATCCCCAGTGGCTGCCTGAAACCACCGATAGTACTAAACCCTATACACACTGTTGATAAAGTTTAATTTACAAATTAGGCACAGTAAGAGATTAATGACAATAATCATAAAGTAGAACTATTATAATATGCTATATAAAGTTATATAAATGTGGTCTCTCTCTCAAAATCTTATTATACTGTACTTACCCTTCTTCATAATTTTTTTTTCCTTCTTCACAATTTCATGGAAAGAAGATTCGTGCTTTCCATAGATCATAGCAACTTCAGCATCAGATTTTTTTTTTTTCCTTACTATGTCAAGAACTTTCATCTTTTCACTTAAAAGAGCACTTTACGGCTTCTCTTTGGCATATCAAAATTGCCAGCATCACTACTCTTGTACTTTGGAGCCCTTACTAAGTAAAATGAGGGTGACTTGAACGCAAGCACTTCAACACCACAATAGTCGATCCGGTAACTGTGACAGCTACTAAGTGACTAATGGGTGGGCAGCATACACAGCACGGATATGCTGGACAAAGGAATAATTCCTCCCAGGTGGGATGAAGAGGACGGCTTGAGACTTCATCACACGACTCAGAATGGCGCACAATTTAAAACTTATAAAATGTTTATTTCTGGAATTTTTCCTTTAATATTTTCGGGCCACAGCTGACTGTGGGCAAAAACCTCTGAAAGCAAAACGATGGATAAGGGGGGACTACTGTACATTTTTATTCATTAAAAACTCTAAGTTCTATATATTTATGTAATTAACAATATTCTGTTCTTATTCTTAAAATTCTTCAACAAGCAAGGAGTAATGCAAAAATAACTCTTCAAAGAACATGGATTCGAGATTGCAAGTATCAAGGTCTTTGCTGACTTGGGACCTTTGTGCTGGCTGTTCACTCTGCTGGTAAGGTTCTTCCCCTAGGCCGGCTTTTCCTCACCATTCAGCTCTCAGCTAAATGGTACTTCCTGAGTCCTCTCAGGCTAAAGTTGTCCCTGACATCATCACCCTCATCAAGTCACTCTCTGTTGGGACCCGCTGCCTTTTCTTCCCAGGTAGCATGTCGTTATCTGGAATGATGTTATCTATTTGTATCCTATCTTCCCAACCAGAATGTAAACTACACGAGGACAAAGATTTTATCAGTTTGACTACTGCATCTCCGGCCCCTAGTACATAATAGGCACTCAATAAATATTTCTGAATCAGTAAACTAGACCTCAAAAGATGTTGGCGTTTACCAGGATAAGAGGTACAGGTAAAGTATGCTATCAGCCTAACAGCATCATGGGTATTGGTTTCCTTCCAAGGACAACTGCTCCACTGCATCCAAAATATGTAAATTTCAGCCAAACTTACTTGGGAATGGGTACCCGAATTAGCGTCCCTTCCACTTCTGGGTTCAGATTCATTCCACTTTCTCTTATAGCCTTGATAGCTGCAGCTGTACACTGAAAACCAGATCAAAAGGTAAACAGAATTAGTAAATAATTATTACCAGATGCAAGCCCTCTGCCGATAACTGGCAACCCATCTTGGCAGAACATGGAAACATTTAGTTCTGTTACCAGTAAGATCAGGAAGTTACATTGGTGTAGAGTGCTTTGATCAAGCTGAATAGCAAACTATGTCCACTCCTGGTACCAGTGTACCGCGGGCGAAAAAAAAGCAAAGAGAAGGAAAAAATAAAAAGAAAACAGCTCTGCTTCTTTGAAAAGATTTCAATGGTTTGAGGCAACACAGATCAAAACCACAATAAATCCTCAAGGGAAGGGTGCTGGTCTGTGCAAAGATTGGTGTAAAGACAGATGAAAGATTTTATATGTTAAAAATTCCAGTTGACATTTTACACTGAAAATATACCAGTGCTGATTTAGAATGAGTAAATAAATTTAACTCATTCGCATCTATACTCACACCAATCTCACTCATGTTTTAGAATAAGCAATGAATCTCTGCTGGCGTGTGCTCCAGGATAAGCAGAATGGTATACTGGCTAAAAGCATGGGCTTTGGAGTCAGAAGGATCTCAGTTCAAATCTCAGCTCTGCTTACCACGTGACTCTGGGCCAAAAGCCTGACCTCTCTTGAGCTTCCATTTCGTAATCTGAGATCATAGTATCTACACCGTAGAGAGGACTGAATGAGGTAAGTGTGAGCAATGCATCTCGCTCTGTGCCTGGCCACAGTAACACCCAGGCAAGGGGAGTTATTATTTACATTTAGTACATAAAGGTAAGAATGTACAAAACCCCCAAACAAGGCTGAGCGGATGCCATCTCTTAGCTGATGCACTGCTGTCCTGCCTGACATCCCCCAGGGTCTTCTCTACACAGTTCTGCTCTCTACTGTGCCAGGTGGTACACTGGTTTCCCAAAGTGCCTCACTCACCTCAAGCAACATTATAATCCCACCTGGAATGCCATCCTAAAGGGTGAAAGATTGCAACGTAGAAGAGCGATACTTTCACTGGCATGACAATGTGGAATCCATGAAAATGAGGTCTCTGACATTTTCCTAAGAATTTTAGATTTGACCAGAGCCAATCCACATCACTTGGATTCACAGGGCCAATTCCCAGCATTAAGTTCCTCCCCAGACTTTCTGGTTTAAAAGAATGGGGTTTGTTGCATACCTATTTTATTTTTCCAGGGTTTGCTTTGGTTTTTGAGGGAGTGCCTAAAAAAGCTTATCTATTTCATTTTAAAATGATCTTAATTCTACAGGGACATGGGGTCAAAAGATAAACCCAAACTTCCACATGCAGACGAATCATCTCCTTGGGAGGCTCTATACAGAATCTAACAGTGTAGCCACTGCTTAAAACAGTAAATTCTTAAAATGGTACCTCTGACCACAGACTATTGGAGCTGGAAGGGATCTCTAACATAACCAAGGACACTCCCTACCTTATGTATACAGGGACCTGTAGGATAAGGTCACATCCCTAAACACAAACATGGTCTTTCTAGAGAGTCAAGAGCAGTGGAGTGAGGACCTCACCCATCATACTTCCGCTTCCTGGCCGCGTTAAGCGAAGACATTAGGCTCCTCAACTGAGTCCAATGACGTCACTGTCTATATTTTCTTCCAGACCCCCTAACTCAATGTATTTAGTGATTATAGCAGAAGAAATCTGATTTTTTTTAATCACCAAAAATTATTTGGAATTAGGTCTGCTGTACAAAGGGTATGGCCAAAGTAAATAAAAGAGCTGGATAAAGAAAATAAATTTTCCTCTGCAAGAGAACAGTCATCTTCCTGAATTAAAATGACACACAGATTTCTAAAGTTAACGATAAGAGGAACGTCTCCACTTTGAAGGGGTGGCCTGGTCTCAAGTCTCCCAATCCTTTCCCACTCCTCTTTTGCTGATGCTTCTCACTGAATGACTGATAACTCACTGTGGTGACCGACCAGCATCACCTCCCTTTCACAATCAGACCCACGTGTTTCCATACCACCTTCCCCTACAGGCTCAGGAGCTGATACCAAGCTAGGCAATCACTGTTTCAACATTTACATCATCCTAACACAAGGCTCAGTGCCAGGTCCATGGTAAGCACTCAGTAAAAGCTTGTTGAATGAGTATATTAATAAACTGGCTCAGATCTATTAGAAAAACTTATCTCCTTATTTTTACTTCATGTATATAACCCTCTAAAACCTTATTTTAGACTTTACTTGTTCTATATCCTTTCATATGCAGAAAAAATGTAAATCAAGAGAGGTTTCATTCTGCAAAGAAATCTGCTGGAAGAGGTAGTTCTAAAATATTCTAAATATATATATTTTGGTTTGATAATGCTGGATGTAGAAACTCAGGGAATTAGTCATTTTCCCAACATGACTTCTGAACTACTCATGGTGCAGACAAAAAGGCATATTTTTCTATCACATTTCCATCTTTTATCTTAGCCTTTATCCCCTCACTGAAGGGATGCTCACCAGTATCCGAAGGCAAACAGGCTGCTCTCGAAGGGCAAAAATGACCAACTGGTCGTGGCTGCTTGGAGGACTATGTTGAGAAAGATCACAGACCTCACCTGGGGTCAGGCAGAAAGTGCTGTCATCAATTAGCAACGGCTGTTACTTCCATTCTTAAGCTAATTTATGCTAAAAGACAAAAGATGCTAAAACTTTTGTTGGCAGGTAAACAAGTCCTTGATAATTCGCGTTCAAGTCAACTTCGGTTTAGAGATATTTCAATTACTGGTCTTCCATTTTCTTTATGTCCCAATGACTCCCTAGAATGTAACCTCTATGAAAGCGGGGACCTTGTCTGTCTTAATCATCAATGAATTCCAGCACTTCCAATAAAACCTAACAACATGCAAGGACTGAAAAAATATTTGCTGAATTAATAAATGAATGGTAAAAGGAGCACAGGCTTTAGTGTCAAACAGATCTACGTCCAAACCTTGGTTCTACCACAACGGCGTGAACCTGGGGGATATATTTCACTTCTCTGAGCCTCAGTTTTCTCATCTACAAAATGGAACAAATAATGTTCAATTTTAGAGAGTACCTGTGTTGATTACATGTAACAAAACAGAAAGTAGTGAACACACTAGACACTCAGTATACATTAGCTTTTTTCTTCCACAAGGGCAATAATAAAGCCTGCAGGGTTGTTTTTGGGGTTTGTTTTTGTTTTGTTTTTTTGCCTTGTTCAAATCATGCTGTGGTTTTTTATTCCCTTCTTTTCTTTTCTCATCGTTAACTCTAGCTGCAGGCAAGTTTATGGAAAGCGGCAACTGTGTTTATCATTTATCAAGCAGGACACATGTTAAACAAATGCAACAGTTTTCTGTCTTCAATGCATTTGAAAAGATTATGCATGTAAATCTGCATCGTGTCACCACCGCATGACACAGAAATGCACAGGTTTGGAAAGAAAGCCAACCGCATGTGAAACAGAAAGGAATTACATAAACACAGAGAGGATTAGCTCAGCATTTTGAAGTTATGAACCTGGGTACTCTACGGACAGCTTCTAAAGGGGAGGAAGGAAATGTTTAGTTAGGGCTATTTGTTTAATATATACCCAGATGAGATAAAGGAATTCAAAAGACAATGTAACTCACACTTCCTCACTCTGTCCTTGTAAAGAACCTCTCTGAGATGCTGGTAAAGGATTTTTTTTGTTTTTCTTTCAAAATTGACAGAATTTCAATTTGGAGAAATGGCAGAGATGCTTTGGTTGAAAAATGAAGATATACTCCAACTTCCTAAGAAAAAATTAAGCTATTAATACCTCCTCCTGCCTCATGAGATGCTCTGATGGCCAATCAGGTGCTTCTTCTGTGAATGCCATTTGCTATTTAATAACAGAAGTGGCTAGCTCTGAAAAGCAATCTGTCTGATGAGGTCTTCAAGCTGTGTAATTAGGAGGCTATTCCCTAAATTGGCCTGCACTGCCTAAGGGTTTAGATGAACCAGGCTAGAGGCCTCAGTGATTCAGAGGGAGCCAGAAAGGGAAAGAAAGCGTTGACAGTTCCCTTTCGTGCATTTCTCTGCTCTTCAGTAACACCAGGAATGAGTGTCTCCCTTCCATCAACCTAATAGCAAGTATTCATCCATTTGAGGAAAATCTACTGAGTGCTTCCATGTGCCAGGCACTGTTTTAGTGCTCAACACAATGAACAAGTTAGATGATTCCTACATTCTAAGCTTACAATCTAGTGAAAATGGGATGCAAAATAAAGATGTAAATAAATACACAACTATTAATGATATTAAGGGCAATGAAGTAAAAGAACTGTGCTCTGTACGAGAGGTTAGTGTGGAGGAATAATTTAGATTGAATAGATTAGGGAAGGCTTCCCTGAGAAAGTAACATTTAAGCTATGATCCAAAATACAAGAAGCAATTAGCCAGGCAAGAGTGTTCCAAGCAAAAAGAACACAGGCGAAGGCCCTGAGGATGCGAAGGGCATGTTGTGTTTGAGGAAAGCTCATGTGGCTCGAGTGGTGTGCAAGGATGACAGTGGCACAAGACTGGGGAGCCTGGGGAGACAGGCAAGGGCCACAACATGCAAAGCCTTCTATGCCACAGTCATCTCTTTCTTAAAGATTACTTGAAGCCACTGATAAATGTTAAGCATGGGAAAGCCATAATTCAATGCCTATTTTAAAAGTTCACTCTGGCTGCAGTATGGAGAATGGAATGGGGGAGTGGTGAGTAACAGCCCCTCCCCCACCCCCGACTAGTGTGCCTGGCACATGAGCTATAAGAGCCCTCATATTTGCAAGTGTTCATAGCAGGGGCTTTTCCTTACTCATATCTCTAACCCCGTTTGTCAAATCCAGCAGGTTCAACTTTGTCTTTGGGATAGAAATACTGAAACGGACAATGGGAATAGGAAGGGACTTAGGATTCCTTCGCCCCATATTAACAGATGAAAAAATGGGGGTGCAGAGAGTGAAGCAACTTACGCAAGGTTAAATAGCCAGCTGGCAGCAGAGTCGGGACCAGATTCCAAGCCCTCTAGGACTCCCAATCCAGGTCAATTCTGACTGGACCAACAAAACAAAACCCATTTATCTTCCTCAACTAGACTTAATATCAGCCTCAAGGTTGCAATTATCCAATGCAACCCACCTTCCAGCCTTGGAAGCGCTATGCTCTGTGCAATATTCTGCAAATGGTCAGTCCAGTTTGAAAGGAATGTGAATTCTAGGAGGGTCTACTCCAAATACTAATGCGGAAGTCCAAACTGGTGGCCCACAGACCACCTTTATTATACTTTATTATACTTTATCCCTTTATTATACTTTCCCTCTCGTTTCATCCCCAGTAGAAGGAATACTTCCTCCTGATTTGACCTAGCCGCCTCCATTAATAAAAAAAAAAAATCACAAAGGACCCTTTCAGGAAGACAAACTGGTGGTCCACAGACCAAATCTGGCCCATTAATGTGTTTTGTCTCATAATCTTTAAACCAAAAAAAAAAGTGAATTAGTTATCAACACTTAACAAAGATCTTACATAAAAATTTGGATTACTGACTTCTTCTGGAAATAAAAATCTTAATATCTGGTAACACTGACAACCAGGCCTACATTTCTGCTTGGCAGTGATCAGCAGGAGCTGGGCGGAGGCTGCTCCCTGAGGGCAGGGCACAGGCTCTCCAGTCTACCACAGCCCCCTTTATGTTGGCCAACCACCAATCACTGCATCGCCACTGTTGTTTTTCTGAGATGGGGCCTGTTTCAGTATCCAAATTACTTGCCTGGCTTCTAGTGTTTGCATTTAACAGAAAAGGAATTTAGAAACAGGAAAAGAGTTTTCCCTTATCCTTACATTCCCTTTATTATACTTTCCCTCTCATTTCATCCCCAGTAGAAGGAATACTTCCTCCTGACTTGACCCAGCCACCTCCATTAAAAAAAAAAAATCACAAAGGACCCTTTCAGGAAGGCCACCTTACCTCTGGGAAGCTGGCCATATTCACCAAAATCAGCTGTGGTGACTTCATGGAGATCTGGCCAATCTGGTTTAAAGCTAGCTTCCCATCAGCAGTTACCACAGTGATATGATCCAGGGATCCTAAAGGAAAAGTTATAGGGTCTTAGAATTCAGAAGGAACTTAGTAGCCCCACAGCTCAGTCCCTATCTAATTCAGATTCGGCTAATATTTAAGGGTCTCTTATCAATGTGGCAAGACCATTCAAGGGGCTTTCAGCAGGGCAGCAGTATTATGCGATGGAAAGAACTTTGAAATGTTGACAGAACTAGGTTAGAACTCCTTACCAGCAACCAGGATAGCCAACCATCCTGGTCTGCCCGGGCCTGAGGGGTTTCCTGTGACACAGAACTTTTAGAGCTAAAACTGGAAAGAGCTGGTCACCCATCCAACAACATTGTCATTTACTAACCATGAAACCTGGGGCAAGTTACTCATCTTCTCTATACCTTGTTTCCAACTCAGTCAAAAAATAACTACCTTACAAGATTAAAGCAAGGATTATAGCTAACTATAAACAACCAAGTATATAATAAGTACCCATAATGAGCCTTAAAAAAGGGTACCTCTTATTAACCCTTTAGTTCTTATAACTACTCTGTAACTATCTCCATTTCTATCTCCATTTTACATGAAAAAAATGAGATCTGGGGAGTCAAAATAGGGCAAGATCATAGAGCTAATGAAAGCAAAAACACACAAGAGCCCCAAACTCAGGTGAGCTTGATTCTGATTCCAATCACACTTCTCCCTTACACCAGTGGAACTCAAATTTGGCTAAGCATCAGAATCACCAGGGAGCTTTTCAATTTAGATTCCTGGGCCCCACTCCAGAGATCTCGATTCTGCAGGGGTTTGGGAGCCTGTGATTTGGGGGGAGCCTATAATTGTTTTTTAATATCACCACACAATTCCGACATGCAGCCAGGTTTGAAACCATTCCCTTATACCTGCCGTGATTTTGGTACTTAGATCCCCTTTAGAAAACAAACACACACCAACTATTAATGCTTAATAGTTGCATCTGATCTTCATCCATTTCTGAATTCTAGAAAACCCTGGGCAAATTTTTCAGAAACCCAATAAGGCAAGCAAATAAAGCCACAATTATAGATGGAAAAGGGGCATTATTCAAACTTTCTGATTTCCCATTCAAATGCGAACTAGAAGAAAAAACATACCATTGATAGTAGGAACTACTAGTGGATGGCTCATTCTGAGACACAAAAAGAAAGGGGGTCTGGGGAAGAAAGTGGTCTTTTAAACAAATTGGGTATTGTCCCAGCAAACTGTTGTTAGAATAATACAGTACCATATCATGGCCCAAAGATCTGATTTGAAGTACTCAACCACACTACTCAAAGTCATCCCAAGAGAGAACATGGCTGACACCAATGGCCTCAATCTGGAACAGTCCAAGAGGTATAATAGTAAAAGTTCCCTTGATTCTGAAGACAAATGACCTGGGTTCAAATACCAACTCTGCCACCTCTTGATTGTGTGACCCTGGGCAGATCTCCTCAACCTTTTGTGCGTCTGTTTCCTGATCTCTAAATGGGGCATAAAAATTGTACTTATCTCACAGGATTGTGATGAGGATTAAATGAAAGAGCTTCTGGAAAGCACTTATAACTGTGCCCTGGCATATATAAGTGCCCAATAAATGTTAACTATTATTATTACTTCTTGACTTTCTCCTATGTTTTAACCAAACTAACCTATTTACAATTTCTCTAATAGTCTGAACTTCCTTGCCTCAAGACCTTTAGCATGTATTTTTCCTTCTACTGAGAATGCCCTTCTCTGTTCAGATAACCCCTGCTCATTCTTTAACACTCAGTTGTAACAGCATCTAATCTCAGAAATCTTACCTGACCTCCAGGCTGGGTTATAAACCCTCTCGTGAGCTCCAGAGCATCCTATGCACATTTCTATAATATGACACTTCCTGTGAGCGAGACATTGTGCTAAATGCTTCTATAATTTATTTGCTTTCATTATCACAATAACCCTGAGATAGTTCCACCACTTTTCAGATGAGGAAACTGAGGCACAGAGAGTAACTTTACCAAGGTCACAAGAGCTCTTAATACACAGAGCATGAATTCAAATCCAGGTCTGACCAACTCCAAAGCAAAGGTCTTCATCACTCTGCTTTACTATACGACTTCGTATATTTTGGTTTTCTTGTCTGGCCCTTCACATTAGGCTCTAGACTCTTGAAAGGTGGGGAGAATGTCTTTTCTCTCTGTATCTATTGCACCTATTAATCAGCACAAAATAAGTGCTCAATAATGCTTTGATGAATAAATGAATGTACATATGGATGGATGAATGAGAGAAGATATGAATGAACAAACGAATAAACCTGTATCTTAGGCAACAACTAAAAACAATCATGGAGACAGAAACTGCTGGTAGACAGATGGAGGTGTAAGAAGAAAAGTGCCTGCTGGTTCAGATAGTAATGAAAGATGATATGGAAGAATCTGGCCAAAAAAAGACTGGCTAAGTTCAGCCTTTTTCACCCAGTCTCTTTATGGCCCCAAATTCTACATAGAACGTTATACAAACATAACCCTAAAGAGAAAGAAGCAAAGAGGAAATACCAATGGGAGGCCTTTTGAAAATGGATCTTAATTCCGCCTTCCTGGTTTGCCATAAGATCCTCTGCTGCAGAAGTCCCAACATGGGCATCCCAGTACGCAACTGTGGTGTTCCCATTCCCTAAATCCATATCGACATAATGCATCAAATCCCTTCCCTCAATCTGTCCCCAGCGAGAATCTCCCTCAGCCTCATTCCTGCCCCTCATTTTCTCAGAGGTTAACATTTAACAAATTACACTCCCAACCTCTTTCCAGGCCCATCATCTTTTTAAGTTCAACAAGAGTGGAGCTTGCTGGCTAATTTTAAGTATCACATTTCTCCCTGAGCTCCTCTCAAACTGCTCTCTGGTTTCGGCTGCAGAATGTTAACAGGCCAGAAAGCACAGGGGAGACAAAGCACTTTATCAGTTTCATACCTAAAATAATAAGCAAGTTTAAAATAAACAGTTGGGAGAGATTGAATGGCACGCTCTACTGTCAGCAAAGGCAAAAATGCCCCAGTCTAAAGGTTGACAAATGATGGAATGGTCTTCTGGTTTTACATTGGATCTCGTCTCTGAACTCAGTATGTTTCTGCTGGTGTTTATAAATGAAGCTGTATATTTTTCACTTGGTTTTCTTAAGAACAAGTTCATGAAATATTTTCTAGTTTCCTTACAAACTATCCAAACCAAGATGAGAGTGGGAACAGCCTAAGCTCCCACAGACACCTTCAGAGGGGGTCTCAGGCTTGACTTTAGGATGATGACAATTTCCAAAAGGCCAATTTAACAGCAATTGGATTTTTCCTGCCTGCCTGCCTGCACCATTAGCTGACAACTCACTTCTTCTATCACATCTGCAAACAGTTTTCCTAGACAGTTCTGACATTTCCCACTTAGAAAAGCCACTTTCAGGAAGTTATTAACCCAAACGTAATCTTCCTGGTCAAGCTCAGGGGTACAGAAATGCCTCAGGTGGGCAGGTTTGTAGCCAGTTGGTTTCTAGTAAGGGATGAGAATGGCCAAATAGGACAAATTGGAAAAATCAGACCAAAGTTGTCAGTTACTATGAGACTAATCATCTAGCAGTATATCTAGTATTTATCATGGTCATTAAAAAAACTCCTATTATTGAGAGTATAATTCTATGAGAGCAAAGACCATGCCTGTTTTTGTTCACCACTGTGTACCTGCACAATGCTTGGTTCAGAGTAGACAAATATTTGCTGAATGGACAAATAAATGTAGTGTTGACTATGTGCCAGTTACTGTGCTAGAATCATTACACATGTTACCTCACTTATTTTAATAACCACCCCGAAGCTATAAGGTAGGGATTAGGCAAGGAAACTGAGGACCAGAAAAGTACAGTAACCATCCACAGTCACCAGTTAATACATATCAACACTGGGATTAAAACCCAGATCTATCAAAGCCATGATCTTTCCACTATGCCCTTCTCTAAAATATCAGTGCAGTCACTAACCTGGTGAGGTCCTTATATTGACAGTCTTATTGAAATTATCCTTGAGTGCTTCCATCACAGACTTCATTTCTTCTTCCACCTCTTCCAAGCTGATTATGTCCTCAACCAAGGCAGTGTTAAGATTCACTCTGGTTTGGGGCTGTCCTTTCCCTTTGGCTAGAAAGTAAACATTCAATGACTAACAGAACAGCAGCATAAACGGAGACAATAAACTAGTGAAGAAGAGCCTCTTATGTGTAGTGCAAAACACCAAGTGCTGGAAAATTATAGAACATTATCATTGCCCTAAAAAAAGGCCTACATTTACTGAGTACTAAGTACCCAGCACTGTGCTAAACACTTTCTCAGGCACTAGTGAAGGCATAAACTTTATCATGAGACACCCCAGGTGACAATCCTGGCTATGATGCAAACTAGCTTTATGATCTTGAGCAAATAAGTCTACTTTTCAGGTTCCTTACCTGTAAAACAGGGATAATATCTATATTGCTAGGTTGCTACAAGAATACAAATCAAATAATTCAAATACCTAAAAGAGCACTATCTACATGGCAGGCACTCCATAAGTGAATTAATTCCTTATTTTGCAGAAAAATAAACACGAGATAAAGGTAAAATGACTTGCCCAATGTAACAAAGTCATGAAATAGTAAAGCCAGGATTTGGTCCCAGATCTGCCTAATTTTAAACCCATGAACATTCCATTAGACTATCTCCATAAAATCTAATTGGAGATGAAGGAAATATATTAACTCATTTTAAAATGAATACTAAGATAAGGATATACAAAGTATCTGATGGCTAGTACAGGCAAACAGAACAACAGCAATTCAGAAACATTAAATGCCACTAGTGGTACTGACAATAGCTTATATTTTAGAAAGTCAACAGCATTGGGAGCTGAATAAAATTATATTTTATGTCTAAACCACCATGATGACTTTTCATATATATCTGTAATATGTATATACATAGATCACTCCAGTGACTAATACAAATATTCTTGCATTTCTTTATGGAGTGTGGGGGAAGGAGAAAAAAATAAAAAACATTTAAGTAATACTATCCTATAGTTGTTTACTTATTAAATGTTCAACAAATATTTATTGGGACTCATTTACAACAAAGTTTATTAAACATCAATAGTGAGCTAGATCCTGTGATATTTGTATAGCATGTTATAATCTGCAATGCAATTTCAAGTATATTCTTCTATGAGATATTCAAAGCAGCTCTCTGAGGAAGGAAGAACAGAGATTATCAGTGTCCACTCTGTACAAATGAGAAATTTAAGACTCAAGCCACTTAAACGTTTTTCCCAAAGTAACCAACCAGTAAGCAGCAGAGTGATTTTGTTAAACATTTATTTGCTGTCACCATATGCTTGAAACCTCATTGCTCTAAAGTTAGGCTAAAGGCTTAAAATTTTCAGAACCAATGAAAGATATAAATCTTCAGATTCAGAAACACAAGTTCCAAACAGGATAATAAAAGTAAATTCATACCCGGACATCTTGCGAATGCAGAAAATAGCTGACCAGAACAGACATATTATCCATAAAGGATCAAACTTTAGAATAATAGTATACTCTCTAAGAGCAACAATAAAAGCCAGAAACAATGGAAATAATTTTTTCAGCTTTATTTTTAAACCAAGTATGCATGTTAAAAATTTACAGGTAAGGAACCTGATACAAAAGACACCATAAAGTAAAAACCATAGTAGATACTTGCAACACATACAATCAACAAAGGATCAACACTCCTAATATAAAAAGAATCCAATAAAACTAAAAGAAAAAGTCAAACCCACGTTTTAAAGAGGCAATCAAATGAGACAAAAACTAAACAGCCAAGTAAATATGAGAAGATGCTGCTCACATGCTGCGGCTAATGTCGCGTAACCGGAGGACTGCAATGCCGTGGGCATCGGGAGCCCCCAGTTTCCACCTCTGCCACTAACTAGATATGACTATGGGCAAATGTCTGACACAGGTACCCCAGTTTCCTCATTTGCAAAATGGTGAGATCTGTGCTTCACTGGATACTTATAAGAATTTCTTCACTGGGCAATTATAAATTCCTTCGATGGATAATTATAAGGATTAAATTATGAAATGTATGTGAATTTAAGAAAACATAATACAATATACAGACCAAAAGTTATCACTATTGTCACTGTTAACAAAACATAAGTCTTCTAAGCATTAATGCTCTTTCGGCAACTTGTTAATTTTCCTATTAACAGAAAAGGGAAGGTCTGCATGAAATGATAAAAGCAAAGTCAATAGAAAAAATATTCAGCAGCCTATTTCTAGCACCATCTTTGAGAATGGACTCCCTGACCCACCACTGCAAATAGCAGGTCAGCTTGACAACTTTCTGTTACTCGTTCATGCAACAAAATTTTTTGATACATACTATGTGTCAGGCCCTGTTAGGTGCTAAATAAGAAAAACACAGACCCTATCCTTACTGGGTCTGGCATGGAAGACATATAACAAACAATAATCAAACCTACAATTAATTAACTAATTAATGAGTGCTGTGTTAAGTACATCAAAGGTAAAATAACAGTGTGCACGAGTGCATGTAACTAGGGACCTGACCCAGTCTCCGAGGTCAGGGAAAGCTTCCCTGAGAAGCGACATTTAAGCTGAGACCTGGGGTATATCAAAGTCTCATTCTTGGATGACACAAACCATTAAGATCATCCATCTAAATCCATGGCTCTAATACCCCTTACCCAACAACCTTCTGGTTTTAATTTTACTTCCAACACAGATCTTCCTATAAAGAGAAAATATGTTGATCCCTGCCTCAAGCTTTCTGGTTTACTTGGCACTTATATCTCTAATTCTAAATCTAAAAGAAAGAAATTAGGCTTTTTCTGAAGCGTGGTAACATATGAGGCAGCATGGTAATGAGAAAACAGACCCCAGGTTCTCTGTCGCTGTGACCGTTTAAGCTAGTCAATTGTACTTGACACCATGTCCTCATGTGGCAAGGAGAGAAATTCAGTATACCTCTGAGATCCTTCCAGCTATGATAATTCAAGGGCTAAATGTAAGAAAGGGGTGAGGAGGTCACACATACCTACCTTTGGCTTTCTTGGTAGCAAAAAGACGGGTTGGTACAGCTGGAGAGGCCACGTATTGCCCATGGTTATTTTGTCTTCCATTCACTGCCTTCAGCGTAATTTCTGAAACAGGTCTGGTGAAGGCTGCAAGGGAGCTGCAAAAGGCAGGGTGGACCAATCGGAAGCACTTCAAACCCAAGGCCATGACTGAAGACAATCCTTGTGAACATCTACTAAAAAGAGTAAGACAAAAAGTAGATCTAAGTAAAACAGACTCCATTACAACTTCAGAAAATAGTGTGTACTAATTATCAAACAATTCCTAGAAACTACGCTATGTGCCATCCAATCTAAAAACATTGTCTCTAATTCTCCCAACAGCTGTACAAGGAAATACAATTAGCCACATTTTACAGGACAAAGAAACTGAGGCTTGCAGAGATTTAAGTAACTGGCCCACTGCCTGTGTCTGTAGGATTCCCAATCGCCATGCTCTTTCCACTGCACCAAATGCCTGTTAATACATAAGGAACATAGAGTTAAGCAAATGTGCAGCAGCCTAAATCTCTAGTGATGCTAATTAAATCCTTGTAGGAGATAAGGAACAAAATCTTGATAAAGTTATGTTGCAAACAGGGAGGGCAGAGCACTGGAAGAGGACTTTAAATAAGAAAAACATTTCAACAGGCATAAAATGACTGGAAAATTCACATAACAGCACTTAGTTAAAAATTTCTTTGGTTCCTTATGCACTGATTACCAATTATAATGCACTTTAATATGAGTCTGAAGCATGGCTGAGGTTTGAGGTCTTCTGTGTTACAGGACTGAAGTTCTGGAAAATGCCCCACTTCTCTGTGTTAACACAAGTTACAACTTCTGAGGTCTTTGACTGTGGAAAGATACTTGAGCCTACAGCTACCTCTGAGAGAACACAGTGTTAGCTGAGTGACCAATGTAGCTCCTGCTAGGCATCTGGCTATTACTTAGCTAAAAATTAAGAACGATTAGCCTCAAATACCTGGAAGCTACTATCTTTGAAAATTAGTTGCCTACATCATTTAAAAAAATCCCATCCTAAAATTTTGATGCAGTATAACGAACTGAGTAAGAGCATGCTCTCTGTAGCCAGGACGGCTTGGAATCCAGTTGGCTCTACCACCGACTAAATGCCCCTGAACATTTCTGCACCTTAATTTCCTCAAATGTCAAATGGGGATAATTATAGTTATTCCTTAGGGTTGGGAAGAAGAAATGAGTTTATGCAGGTAAAACACGTGGCACAGTGGCTAGCAGCCACAGCTCCCAAAAAAGTTATCTATTGATAGCTTTGACACCTTTCCTTCCAAAGACTTCCATGACAGGGTAAGACATAATAAATTTTGCATATCATTACTGATGTATAGGTAGCCTAGAGTCAGTCAGATCTGGACGTAAACATCAATGTTGGGCAATTCACTCCACCTTTCTGGGCATTACTTTCCTCATCTGCAAAATGAGAAAGATAATCCCAATCTTAAAACGAGATAGTGAATACACGTAAAACAACTAGTACAGTGCTCAGAACATAGCACCTGCTTAATAAAAGCTATCACTATCATTCTTTTAAAAGAAAAGCAAATGAGTAGGACAAAGGCAAATTTCTCCTGATGTGATTTTTAATAGCAAGGGATGCTAGGAGTCAGTGATTAGAGTATGAAAGTAAAAATAGATTTGGATTAAAAAAACGAAGGAATATTATCAATAGCTACAATTAATTTAGGTCAGAACTGAGCTGCTTGCTTTACCCATATTATTTAATCCTCTTAATAATGTCACAATACAGTATAATAATTATCTCCATTTACAGATGTTGAAACTGAGGCCCTAAGAGACTATCACTGTCCAAGGGCATGGAGCTATTAGCTTGGCCCTATTTCAGCAAAACTGTTCACAAAAGTTTGGCTCTAAGTGGGGTTTCTATATCTAGATTTTCACCTAATATAGCCAATGCCTAACCCACATTTATATCCAAATATGGCTGTGTAATAATGTGTAGTTTTTGTTTTTTTAATCTACGGGGTCTCAATCTGGCTACTCCATTTAAGACAGGTTTCCTGGTGTTCCTGTTGCTGGTCATAATATCAATCCACAAAGCAACAGGAAATCAAAATGGGTTAGAAATAAACAACCTTTGACAGAAAATGCAGCACCCAAAAGCAGACCCAGTACACGTGAACCGGAAGCCAACTCTATAAATAAACCACATTGCTGAAATGCTTAAGGCATAGATTTTAATTGCACAGAAGTCAGGAAATTTCAAAGTGGAAGTTCAATAAAGGCAGTCTCTTGGACCCCTTTACATTAAGGACATGCATATTAACACTCAGTTCAGCACAGAAGAGTCGAGGAAAGGAACTGTTAGGGGAGCCCAAGTATTATCCAACAAAATTAACCTATACTCAGAAAAAACATGGCAGAAAGTATGTGGGCTTTGCATATAGTCTTGAATTGGAATCTGGGTTCCCCAACTTACTAGCTGTGTAACCTTGCATAGATCATTTAGCCTCCCCGAGCTACATTTTCCACCCCACACCACATCTTTCTCATGGTGATACTGAGCCTTAAAAAAAATAACTGAAACAGTAATAATGAAATAATAGCTAATACTTATATAGTGATAATTATGTGCCAGAAGCAATTCTAAGTGCTGTACTGTATACATTAACTTATCTGAGCCTCAATGATAACCCTTTGAGATAAATACTATTATTATACCCATTTTATGTATGAAAAATCAGAAACACGGATAAATAATTTGCCCGAGATTTTATTTCGGGCACTCTAGCTCCAGAGTCTGTGCTCTTAACCACTATACTAAACTGTATACACTGAAACACTCAGCACAATTATTGGCATTATTATTCAAAACTGTTATTTTTTAAAATAATTATTTTAATTAGTTTCAAGTACATTGGTTAGACCTCTATATAGTTCATAAAATGATCCCCTAATTGCTCCCTCCCGTCCAGCCCTCCACCTAGCCAACATATTGCTAACTGCATTCCCTCTGCCGTGCTCCCTATCCCTATGACCATCTATCAACCACTAATTTGTACTTCTTTAACCCTTCACCCCATTCTCCCAGCACATTTTTTCCAAAGTTGAAGTTCTCAAACCTTGGATCTTCCTGTTTTTCATAGAAGGTGCATTTTAATTTTGGAAGGAACTAGATGAGGAACACAAAGTCCTGGCTTATCCATTGTCCCAGCAACCTCTGCCAATCCAGTTGTATATTGCTCATAATATGTACATTTCTATAAATGTAGGTGTGGACACATGCAGGCCCTTGTTATATATAAAACACTTTCATATTGTGGACATTTTTGAAGAAGTGATTCTAACTGAAAGAACCTCACAGGGTGATCTGACCATAAATTCCTAACTGGGCAAGTCATGTGTGTAGTCACACCCAAGGCATATAACTTCTTTAGTAAAAGTTTTATCTTTGCCGTAAGCAAGCCCTGTCCATTGCTTCAGTGCATCTAGGTTAACACATCTTTAAAATGCCTCTTTTTCAAAATAACCACCCTCAAAAGAGCACATCATCTTTACTATCCTGTAATCCAATCACTGCTTTGCTTTCTCCCACTCATGTATTCTTATGTTGCCTCCTTAATTCCAAATGCATAAAAGCTGCTGCAATCTACCATTCTTCAGAGCATTTGAGACCCTGCTTCTCAGCAACTATTGTTATGTCAGTCTTGGTGCAAATAAATTCTGATAAAAATTCTCTACAGGTTTGGCCATTTCTTACATCAACAACATGTAGTACCTGATTCCTACAAAAACCAGAGTCATGATTACCACCAACATTTTACAAATAAGCAAACTGATCTTTCATTTCTTTGAATACTCCTGCTCCAGGGTCTTCTTCAAACACACTGTTGAATCTGCTTGGAATGATCTTTTCTCACCTCTTTAATGAACTATCTTCCATTTTTCTTTCAGATCTCGGCTTAAGTATCACTTCTTCAAAGGACTGCTTTCCTTGGCCATCTCCTCCAGCCTAAGTCAAATGTCCTGCAACCCAACTTCAAAATACCCTATACTTTTTTTTTATAGCACTTACTTTAATAATATCAGTTAATACTTGTGTAGTTATTTGATTACTAATTCCCTCCATGAAACTATAAGCACTACAAGGACCGGTCTATGGTTGTCTTGCTCACTGCTGTATCCCCAGTGCCTAGCACACTCCCTTAAGACAGAAGACACTGAATAAATGTGATGGATACAGGAAAGTCTAGAAAGATTAACCCTTTGCCCAAGGTCACAATGCTGGCACCAGAATTGGAATCTAAATCTAAGAAAGTAGGTCCCGAGCTCTCCTTCCCAACACTGCTTCAATTATCTGTTGGCTTGCCAAATTTTCACTTAGTGATAACAGGTCATTCTTCTAGAAATTCAGTGCCATGTAAACGTATTTATAGTATCTGACTATACACACATGTTCCTGGCACAGCCAAAGGAAGGATGAGACACTTTAACAAGTGGAGAAAGGGCCTTTGCCTAAGAGCTAGTTCTGAATTCTAATATCCCCATCTCATCATTCCCAGCCAACCACCCTCTTTAGATTCCTAACCATCCCGCATCCAAAAAGTATTTGTGGTAGCTAAACCACTGACTTGTGACTTGTATCATCATTTCTCCTACCTAGGTTTTGTTTCCTCAGCTATAAAATGAAGGTTCAGACCAGGTTTTCGTTCTTTCCAACTATAAAACTCTCCAAGATTCTGAGAAATGCAGTAGAGTGTGGTGATAGGAAAAGGCACCAAACTTGGAGAGGACGAGAAAGTGTCTTAGTTCCAACACTACCTAGATATGTGGACCTTAAGTAGGTCAAACTCTCTGGACCGCAATCTCAACTGTAAAATGTGGATGACAACATCATTTGTTAGGATTACCAGAACGATCAAATGAGATGACGGATGCAGAAGCACTCTGTAAAGAGAGAAGGGCTACGGAGATGACAACTGTTTCGCCATAGGACGGCAGCGAGTAACTGTTAAAAGTTGAGGCTTTGGAAGTTAAGCTCCATTAACTAGTAGGCACGTGACTCTAGTAAAGTTATTTCTCTGAGCTTACGTTTCTTCGTTACGGGAGGATAACAATACCTACCTTCTGAGATTGTTCTGAAAATTAATATTCCTGCCAAGTACTGGGCTCTAAATAGTTGCTTCAATTTAGTAAGCGACCCGCCCTCCCACCCTGTAAGTTCCTAGCATAGGAGACGAGAGCTTTGGAAGAAGCTCCATTAACTAGTAGGCACGTGACTCTAGTAAAGTTATTTCTCTGAGCTTACGTTTCTTCGTTACGGGAGGATAACAATACCTACCTTCTGAGATTGTTCTGAAAATTAATATTCCTGCCAAGTACACT